TTCATCATACCAGAGCCGCACCCACCCCATTGCCGGCAATAGCGAAAAAGCTCCAATATGTTGCACGACGTCACGTGACATCGCGAGTTTGGCATGTCTGTCCTAGACCCTTCAGGACTAGCCTTATGCATAAAACTATGCCAGCACAAAATTTGCTACCTATTACCACAGCAGTACTTGATTCTGGTCTTACTTTTCTTACTACTGAATTGCCTATGAGACAGCACCAGGAACCATAAGGGAGGAGGCACCTTATCCCCATCTAAACTGGCCAATCAGCTGATACCATCTCCTAGGTTTTATTTGATGGCAACTGTTAAGTCCTGGGAGGAATGGCGAATGAAGAATACACATGTTTCTGGAACAGCTCTTTATTGTGCTTATTTCAAACTCCAACAACAACGACCAAAGGAACGCAGGCCTCCTTTTATACGTCCCAATTCCCTGGACAAGATGGCAACATCACTAGGCACTTTTCGCGCCTTGCGCATGCGCGCTCAGCCAGTGCTACTCAGTCTGGTCCCGGGCAGCTTTTGCAATTGCCCGGGAACCTTGCAATGTCCCGAGCCTACATTTGCTAGAACAAATGCAGGCTCCCCTCCCCCCTTAGCTAGAACACACACGGTACTTGTTCTTACGATCCATACAAGAATATAAAATAATTTATTTTTAAAAAATATTTTTTTTCCATCCTACAGACACGTCATTCCACTACAACTTGTTTGCCACTCTCTAATGTGTGCTTTGTGGGTTCTATTGCTACCCACATAGGTTCCAACTCCTCACCATATACTTGTACTGTTCTTATGCTGACAAGAACCTTACATACTCATTTAGGTGTTTAGGAGGGGCCTTAACCCTTTGGGACCTTCTCAGGATGAGGGAGGGTGCCTGGCCTGACAGCTCCCCTGCTCGACAGGACAGACCAGGACTTGACCTTAAGGGCGCCTGGCCTACCGGCCTGTCTGATGGGCTCGATAGACCAGGACTTTTATGTACAGGTTTTGCAGGTGACCCCTGGTAGGGCATACCAGCAGAAATGCCAGAGTTTCCCCCAGGCTCTGTGAGAGCAGCTGCACTCTCCCACCCTTCTGAGTTGGCTGAACTACTCTGGATATGTCCTCGAGCCAGCGACCGTTTTCGGACGTGCCCTGTGAAACAGGTGTGTGTAAGGGGCCCCAGTATTCGGCAGACCCCAAGGTCATGCCTGAGGTGCCAGAGTCAGAAGAGGCCTCTCTGCTTGCCCCCCTTACATAGGACCTCCTTTTGGAAGCAGTTGCACAATTGAACTTGCTTCCTAGCTGGGTTGCCAGTTCTTGCGTGTTCTGTGGATACCCCCGGTTATCCTCCCTGTCTGGAGTGTTACTGTTTCTATATGAAATATGTGGATGCCCCCGGGGTGACTCCCTGGCTGGAGTGTGTCTTAGTGTGTAGGGTAGTTCTCTGCCCCATGAATTCTTGTTTGGAGCACTTGCGGAATCTCGGGATGGAGGATCAACGAACTCTTCAGCTGCCGACACTGGCTGCTGACATTCATCCTCAGAATGTATTCTATAACCTTCCTCCCCCCCCCCACAGAGCAGAGCCAGGAGCGGAAGGGTGAGACTCCAGCCTCGTACGCAGCTGATCTATGTGCCACCGAAGAACGTGGCCATCTTCCAGGGACACTTAATAGGACAAGGGCCCCGAGACCTTGCAGACCACAGCTGGTACCCAGAGATGACCAGGCCCGTAGTTCTGAGTCCAGACCGGAGCACCCACTTGCAGACTCCTCGGTGCCCACGGATGCAACACCTGAGACGCCCCCCTATCTGGATGCAGCCTGTCCAGCTTAGTAATAAGCCGGTGACCCCAATAAAGTTCAGCAGGGCTCTTCCTGGTGGCTGTGGAGAGTGTGGTGCGATGTGCAAGAAGAAAGTCTGCTAACCTGTGCTGCCAGTCACCGTAAGTCAGTCTCTTAAGGGCATCCTTGGTGGTGCGCACCATACGTTCAGCCATTCCGTTGGTGGATGGGTGGAAAGGAGCAGAAGTTGCAAGGCGGATCATGTTGGCCTGGAGGAAAACCTGGAACTCAGAAGAGGTAAATTGAGGACTGTTGTCTGAAACTAGAACATCTGGAAGGCCATGAGTTGCAAAAATACTTCTCAGCACCTGGATAGTCTTGGCAGCAGTAGTGGAGGACACAGGAACAACCTCTAGCCACTTAGAATGGCTATCAACAACAACCAAGAAGAATTGCCCCTGAAAGGGCCCAGCATAATCTATATGTATCCTGGACCATGGGGTGTGAGTTTCCTCCCATCTATGAACTGAGGCCTGAGGCATGTTAGGCCGGGACTGTTGGCACACATGGCACCCATGCACTTGAGCCTCAATGGCTTTATCGAGGCCAGGCCACCACAAATGGCTGCGTACAAGCGCCTTCATCCTGACTATGCCAGGGTGTCCCTCATGTAAAGAATATAGCACTCTAGTCCTCAGTGAGGTAGGGATTACTAACCTACTTCCCCATAGCAGACAACCCTTGAAAGTGGACAACTCATGTCTTCTTTGCCAGAAACTCTGAAACTCAGTATCAGGGCATCTGTCAGGCCATCCTGACAATACCATGACAGAACGCGTGTGAATGTGTGATCAGTGGCAGTTTCTGCAGCCACATCCCTTATACTGAGGGGAGAGGCAGCTCTTGAATGGACAGAATATTAATGGCTGGAGCAGGATCAGGCTCCACTGTTGGAAGGGGTAATCTACTCAGAGCATCAGCATGACCATTTCCTTTCCAGGCTTGTGAATTAAAGAGTAGTCATATGCTGACAGGAAAATGGACCAACGCAACATATGAGGAGAAAGAATATGTGGGTTCTGTTTGGTAATGGTGAACAACCCCAGCAGTGGCTTGTGGTCAGTGTAGACCGTGAAGTATATGAAATCATGAAACTTCTTAATGTCAATCATAATGGCCAGCACCTCCCTGTCAATCTGAGCGTAGTTCCACTCAGCAGAAGACAAGGTTCTGGAATAATACGCTACAGGGACCATTTCAAAACCATTGAGCCAGTGCTGGCTGAAGACATTTCCATGGTCATGTGGCCAGCATGACTTCATGGAGTGCTGTTACCTTCCCACCAAAGTGGTACCTATTTATCTACTCGCATTTGCATGCTTTCGAACAGCTAGGTTGACAGGAGTTTGGACAAAGACGAGAGATCACCCCGTCACATGGCGCTCAGTCTTGAACTACTGCATTGATAATCTAATATATAAGTACAGAAAGCATTTAATGTAAAAAGGGACAAATAGGAAAAAGAAGGGAAGGCTAGAATCACTGATACCAAATTACAAATAAAATTAATTTAATATTGCCTGCTTAATAGAATTCAAGAATTTTTGAGATTCAGAATTCCTATAGAGTTTATTGTGTAGCATTGTTAGATAGGTTCTTTTCTTCCTCTTGATTCCTTTCTTTTTAGAGCATAGTTGTATAAAAGCAGAAAGCAAGCAAAAATAAAAATAAAAATTGAAAATTACAAAGTGTCTGAACCTACCTTTCTAAAACTACTGAAATTGAATTATAAAAATGCTGGCTACTTTCTATAAAAGGTTTTAGATAAACTACTTCAAAAGAGCATTCTAGGAAATAAAAAATAATAATTCTGGCTTTTTCAGACCTCCTATCATGAGGTTAATTTAATTGGACTAGGGTAGGGGTGTCAAATTGCCGGCCCACGGGCCGGATGCATCACAACAAAACTGCGCCCACACCATTGCCAGCAATGGTGAAAAAGCTTTGATACATTGCATGATGTCATGTGACATCGTGAGTTTGATATGTCTGGTCTAGGGGATACTTTTGGGCCATAAGAAATAAATGGGGTTACATGTAATATTAATAATCCTGGGGATTTATGAGTAAAGTATCCTTTTTTCAGTCTAAACTTCATCTTGGCTTGATTAATGGGCTGAGACACTCTGTTAAACAATATTTGTCTCCAGAAGAAATACTGCCTCTGTAAAACTTGCTAGATTTCTCTATGGAGTGTGATAATAGTTGTCACATAGAATCTATTGCTTGGAAATTATTGCTCACATTGTGATTTTTTTTAAAAAAAAGCTAGGCCTCTGAATACCATTATTTCATTATACTGTTTCATTAACTAGTAATATATGAAATGACTAAGAAGCAACTAAATTGATTCCAGATGGATCATATTGTGAAGATACCTGGAAATAATTTGTTCTGTTAATAATATTAAAATATAGAGCCGAATGCCTAAAGAAAGTTATTAGCAAAGAAGTAAACATCATATAAGGGGCTTTAAGAATTCTACAAATATACTTTCATCCATCGCTCCTTTTCCATTAACTTCTGCCATTCTACAGTATTACTCTCTCTTAGCCTCAATGTACTACATTGTGGGCAGCACCATACTTTAACAACATTGTTTCAATTTAGTTTCAAAGGAGGGAGAAAGCTGAGCCACTAAAGTCTTTTGAATCTAATAATTACTTGTCAATCTTTTGTTACTTGCTTCATGTCAAATGAAGTAGGAATGGGAAGAAAGCAGGGAAGACGACAAAGCTAAACCACCGAAACAGCAGCAGCCAAGGTGAAACTGCATCGTCAATAAAGCATTTCAAGTTTTAAAACAAAGGGAAGGGCAAGAGGGCAGAACTGCCTCAAAATATACCCAGCTGTAAATATATATATTGACCGTTCCCCGTATGATCACAACCGGAAGAGGCTTTCTAGATTAACAGCAATCTATATGGATTGAATGCAGCGTCTCGGAACCAGAAGAAGTTTTGGGACTCCGCCAAGGGAATCCCGGCATCCTCTGTGACTATTTAGAATAATCATTTTATTCATCCAATTCCCGATATCCGACAGCCACTGCCCCCTCCACCGAAAAAAAAAAATCTCTTCCCAGCGGGAGATCCCACTCCTATCTAAAAGCAGGGGAGGAGTCAGAACGTATCAGTCTACGCATGCGCTACTCTGCCAGCTCAGTCCCAGAACCGGGGCCCGGGCGATGAATGAGGCGAGGGCGTGGCTGACGGCTGCACGCGACTGCCGAGCTCGCCGTCACAACGTGAGGGGGCAATGAGGATGGGGAAGGAGCGGACTCGCTGCTTTCTTTGGCCGCGCCGTAACGGCTGATTGTCGGGCGTCCTCTACTCCTGTGCCCATGCACTAGAGCTGTAGCCGTCACAGCTGTTGCCCCGCCATCTCTTTCTTCCGCTCGCGGCCGCCGAGGGACCGTGGTAACCGATTCCGGCGCTACGTCGGTGGGTGACCGAGCGCCCCCGGCCGCCCTCTCAGCATGCCATGGGCAACAGCTGGGCGGCGCAGTGGTGTTGCTGGGTCTTCCCCAGACGGGAAGCGGGACGCCTCCAGCGAGGAGGAGGGTAAGCGCGGTGGGACGGTTTGACTTCGATTCCGCCTTTCCGGGGGAATTTAGGACAGGCCGGCCTGTGACTGAAACGCAGAGCCTCCCCCCGTGTGGAGCTTTGCCTCCAGTGTCTTGGAAGAGGGGAATTCAACTGGAAACTCGATCCGCACTTCGTTAACCTGGAGGGTTGACTAAAGCCTCCATATTCACAGGCAATGAATCTGAATCCTAGTTAACAGCGGGCAGGCGTGTTTGAAGGCGCTGGCCTTCAAGCCAGGCCTGTGGGGCTTTTCCGAAAGTATCCGGTTGGCCTCTGCGGCGTAGAATTAAGTGACCTTTCAGTCTGGTGGAGCTGCAATAGGTTGCGGTTCGAAGGTCCCCCAGAGACGGGCGGCCATCAGCTCACCCTGGGTAAAACAGTTGGCAGTGACGGTTGTCTTAGCAAAATTATGTCATCCAGTGGTGTACTGGGGCTCTCATGACTTGCACGTGGGGTTGTTTTTTTTTTTTTTTTTAATAAAGTCTGATGGCATAGGGTGAATAAACGATTTTGGTCTCATTTGCTGTACTTACAGGCCAATTTAAGTAATGTGCTTAATTGTATTCATAGCGAACAAATAACGAATAGAGTGGCAGCATTTCCTATTTGCCCCTGCGGCAGTGTTATTTGGGGATACCTTGGTTGGGAAAAAAGGAGTGGGGAAGTATAAATAGTTTTCTTTTGATGAGTATGTTATATTTATTTCCATATTTTCATAGGCCTCCTATGGATAAAAAGATAATTCAGGATATATAGCCCTGTTGGCAATTGTTATTAACTTTTTTTTAATCATACAGTTTAGGTTGACTTCAGCCTCCCAACTTACTTTCACTTTAGATTTGTTTGCAAAATCATAACCTCATAATTCACGGGGCAGACAGAAAACTCCATTGTTTTATCTAAGATTTTTTGAAAACTGATGAATTAATTATATCTTCCTCTGTGTGTGGAGTAATTACCAGGTATCTAGCTAGTAATCATTGATGAACCTAACCTCTAGGACAGGGGTGTCAAACTCACAATGTGACGTGTCACAACATATCGTGACTTTTTTTCCATTGGTGGCAATGGGGTAGGCACGGTTTTGGCATAATGCATCCGGCCCATGGGCCAGCAGTTTGACACCCCTGCTCTAGGAATTTTAATTCCCCCTTTGAACCTCTCTATATTAATATAGGTACAGTAGTTCTGGTAGTTCTTGACTTAGTGGTCATAAGTTGTGATTAGTGGTCATAAGTTGTGATCATCCAGCAAGATGCTCATGTCTTGTTTTGCTTAATGACTGCAATCCCTGCTCTCCCTTTAAGTCGCTGCATGGGTCATGGATTCAGGTTGGGGAAGGCCCTGGCAGTCCTAGCACACACCCAAGCCTACATTTCAGCACCTCCCAAGTTCACACATGGCTTCCCAGAGTGTTTCCCACCCCGTGAGGTATCCCATACTTCATTCCCACCCTACTGGGTCCCACACACTCCTCCTCAGACCTTCAGCCCAGTTTAGTGCACTTACATTTTCTGTAGATCTGCTTTGGGACTCAGCCAGTCCATACTCTATAGGGAAACCGAGGGCATATCAATCCTTCTTGAAGCTGTTCTACTATGCAGCCTTCCTAAACAGAAGCCACATGGTGCTGTCCCGAAAGTGGACGCCATTTTGGGAACAGCCATAGTCAATTGTGGCCAAAATGGAGCTTGCTTTTGGAATGGCACCATGTAGCCTCACTACTTTATAGGGAGGCAGATGGGTGGATCGACTGGCTCTTCTTCCTGAAGGCAATCTCCACCTGTATTGAATACTATATAGTCTCACTAAACAGTATTTCAGTTTACTATATCTCTGTATATAGTATATAGGTTACATTTATCTGCTGCCATAATGCATCGAAATACATTAAAGGAGAAAAGCACTGGAATATTTATGGCCAGTAGAGATATTGATTTTTTATTATTATTTTAGTGCTTTTAAGTCAATCTTGACTCATTGTGATTGCCTGGATGAGACTATGTGGTTTTCTTGGCAATTTTTGGGAAGTGGTTTACCATTGCCTTCTTTCTAGGAGTGACTGAAAGTGACTGGCTCAAAATCATCAATCTCCATTTTCTAGCCCAGTGGTGGCGAACCTATGGCACGTGTGCCAGAGGCGGCACTCAGAGCCCTCTCTGTGGGCACACATGGCGTGCCCTGGAGATGGCAACCATCCCTCTTCAACCAACCAACCGCTAACTCGCCGAGGTCCCATGTGGCCAGATGCATCCCAGCACGGCTGGTTTCCCTCCCCCCGTCCCATCCCTCCTGAACTCGCATGCTGTCCTCCTTTGCCCAGGCACGACCCACTGCATCGCCTCCTCAGCTGTCAGCTAGCCGTCCAGCTCAGAAGCGGCTTCTCTGAACTGCTGGCGGTAGGCTGTGTAGCCCCAGAGTGTGCCAGTCGAGGGGCCGGCAGGCTGTGGCTGCTGCCGGACACTGTCGGCCCCCATGCACTCGTTGGCCTCTCTGTGGGGGCTGACAGTGTCAGGCAGCAGCCGCTCTGGTCCCTGCCTCGCCTTGCCCTGCAACAATGGTACCCCCACCCCACCCTACCTCGCCTTGCCTCGCCTCACCTTGCAGGACAAGCCTGCTCATTGCCCCACCTGCCAGAGACCCCCCTGGATCTCTCCCAACCCTGCCCATCCCCCACAGGCATCCCTCCCCACGAGCAACATCGAAATGAGCACACCCACCTTGGCCACACCCACCCACTCTGCCATGACCACCATAGCCACACCCACCCAGTGGGCCATGCTCACCTGGCACCCGGCAATAAATAAGTGGGGTTTGGGTTGCAGTTTGGGCACTCGGTCTCTAAAAGGTTCGCCATCACTGTTCTAGCCTGATGTTTTAACACTAATTTTCTTAAATATCTCAAAAGATTTCACATAGAACATTAAGGCCTATTTTCCTTGGTTCCAGGTAACAGAACACTGAAAAATATAGATAAATTGCAGGAAGATAGATTCTTGAGTGGTAGAAATAAGACTTGCAAATTTGAGACAATTTGGCAATGGAACAAGTTACACAGAAAAACTGTCTCTCCTTTCACTAATATGTTTAAGGCATCCACATCAAAATATTTTAATTTGGATTGTAGCACTGAGCAAGTGATTGGATTCATGGGTTTAATAACTACCTTCCATTATGAAGTCAGGATCAATAGATTATTTAGCAGTAAAGATATTTTGAAAATTTATATTAGGCTAAACAATTGCATCATCAATTTTGCAGCAGCATAGGATCATTTATGCCTAAATATTATTCAATATTTTTATATTAATCTAAACTGACATGTACCCTTAGGAATCTGGAAGCTGTGAGAAATATAAAACAACAAATCTGGTAGGCTATAGGCTATAGTATATATATATATATATATATATATATATATATATATATATATATATATATATATATATATATACCGTTTGTTGATTGTCTATTGCACTCAGAATCTTTTTGTTTTCCAAAGCTGAAGATTAATTTTTCTAGTGCCAAAAAGATTCACAAGTCTCTTTTGAAATTGGAACTCTACTTATTTCATGATTAATGCAACAGATAACAAATCTCACCTTGCTGTTTATTTTGAAGATGCAAAATTTGAAGTAGTTTCTCAAGATAATCTAAAAGTCATATTTAATCATAGATATCTTCAAGGGAATAAATGACAACATGTATACCATGATGTCCACAAGGAAATGCATTGGATTTCATAATACATCTCGTTTGTATGATATCATGACATGTATTTTATTTTAACATAATTGTGGTTTATTATAACTGCCTTTGGCTTAAATGGTTTGTTGTAAAGAAGCCTTCTTTGTGCTGCAGGTGTAATTAGAAATTCAAGCATATGTAATTTCAGCATCTTCATTGTCAACTTTCATTTCACCCCAAGAGGAATCACAACATTATTCTTTAAATGCTTATGGGAATAAATATAATAAGAGCTTTGGGATTGCTTTTATTATCCTATCTGGAGAATAACTAAATTTATAATGCTCCTTTATTTTGTAGAAAGCAATAGGCATCATGCACTTTGTTTAAAAATAGTCTGGGTCTTCATTTTATCGACCTCGGAAGGATGGAAGGCTGAGTCAACCTTGAGCCCATCAGGATCAAACTCCTAGCTGTGGTCAGAGTTAGCCTGCAATACTGCATTCTAACCACTGCGTCACCAGGGCTCCCAGTAGAGGTTCCTCTGGAAGAAGAATGGATTTTTTCAATTCACCAATAACCCTCCATGTCACTGCATGTTCCAGATGGTCAGTTTTTTCCAGGAAGGAGTAGGGTATAAAAAATACTTCCCCTTTTCATAGCTGAAACATATTTTTTACATACCATATAAATATCTCAAAAGATTTCACATAGAACATTAAGGCCTATTTTCCTTGGTTCCAGGTAACAGAACACTGAAAAATATAGATAAATTGCAGGAAGATAGATTCTTGAGTGGTAGAAATAAGACTTGCAAATTTGAGACAATTTGGCAATGGAACAAGTTACACAGAAAAACTGTCTCTCCTTTCACTAATATGTTTAAGGCATCCACATCAAAATATTTTAATTTGGATTGTAGCACTGAGCAAGTGCAAGTGCTGTCTTTAATAATTTCTTCCATAGTAAAATATTGAATATATCCAGAATATATAAATAATAACAGTGATGTATAGAACACACATTGGAATCCAGCTGTGTTCAATGCATGTGCCAACCGCTTATTTACAGGATCAGTGCCACATTACTTATTCACTTGATAACATGGCATTTAGAATACTAGATGGATAAATTAATTTTCTGCAAAATAGACTGGCCATTCCTAGTTCTTCTGGAAAGATAGGAAAGGAGATTCAACCTTGCCATTCTGCTAATATATGCTGGCAGAAATTACAATATAGCAAATCTAGGTGATTCTTTTCAATTATTCAGATATATATTGTTTCCAAATAAGGCTTGTATATGGTTGTTTGGCTCACCCATTGGTTACACCATCACGAGGTCCAATTGGTTTTGTATTAATGTAATAAATCATAATTTATTCAGAAAATCATATCTAAACAAACATGGTGTGTGATATGTAAATTCAAAATATGTTTAGCATGGTACATAGTACTTCCAAACCCTAATGTCAGCAACTTTTGATTTGGGAATCGTAAGTTCTAATTTCATGCCTTTGCTAAATATACCCAAGACTGTGATCAAGTTTTTATTAAAAGAGTATTTCAGAGGTTGTGTGAAAAAGGGCATGTAACTATGTGCCGGCTTCTCATGACAAAGTTTTGAAAATACAGCATACAATATTATACATTTTTATTAAAAAAATTCTAATGAGGGAAAAATTATTCTGATGACTTTTGAAATATAGCAGTAATTCTGCTATGATTCTGTTGGTTTATATTCTAGATCAAAGTACTTCAGAACATGCTCAACAGGAGAACATTTCACTATAGAGGTAAGTAAAGATTTTAAGTACCACTATAGTCACATTATCAAAGTAGTATTTTTTTATTGCAAATTTCCTGGCTGAAACATTATACAATAAATAAATAAATTTGAGCAGTTAGAATTATTTGTTGCTAATTTCAATCACATCAATTGGGAACAATCTGTTCTTAAGAATGAGAGTCTAATTAAAGCCACTATATGCTACGGTTTATATTCATTAAAATGCAAAGAAAACATAAAATACTGTAATCTTGGGATAACATAAATATAATAACATTCATGCAACTATGAACTGGGTATGTTCCATTCTGTGACTGGGCAAAAGGGATAGAAAGAGGTGACAAGTTACTAGCTTCTTTGAGCTCTCTGGTTCCTTAACATTTCTGTCCTATTTTTGCTGGTTTTGGTACCCTTTCCTGAAATAAATAGTGTTTTCCTAGGATTGCCCTAGGAATTAGTGCATATAGTTTCCCAAAGTTGCAAAAGTCAAACATCAAAGTTGCAAAAGTCAAGCATCAAAGAAGAAGAAGAAAAGAAGAAATGGCAGAAGAAAATCTGTGGTTTCCAGTTACCCAGAAGACTTTAAAACATCAAAAGATCAGTGAACTATTGCATGTATTTGATTGTAAACGGCTGCTAAGCAGATAAAAATCTTCTCTCACCAATATTTTTGCTTTTCCTAGAAATTAAATTGCTGTAGAGATTAGAGAATACCCCAAAGAATACTAAAGGAATACTGTTTAAAATAATTCATATGAAAGTTAATTTGTTTGATGACCATCTAGTTTTTGTTAATTCCAATCTTAGCCCATTTCAAAATTAATCTTAAGAACTTTGGTGATTTGACAGATATACAGATGAATCTTACTAAATTGAAAACAATTTATCTTAATATAGAAAAACAATTACAAATATACTACAGAACTTATCAGGCATAAAATTAAAATAAAATACCTCAGTTATTTGAAGGTAATCATATCTAAAATGTTAAAGATGCTCTTTAAAATATTACACTTATTGGATGTATTAAGAATATTATTCAAAGGTTAATTTATGGAAATCATTAAAGCTATCTTGTTCAGGGAAATTAATCAAAATCCCTAACCTGTTTATTTTTTTTTCTGTTTATTTTTTATTTCAATGCCTTCATTTGGCTATTTATAGTTATAGTGGCAAAAGATTAATAAATAACTGTATACATGGGGGAAAAGCATGAGTTGAGACTAAAATTATGTACAGCAGGAGTGTCAAACTGCCGGCCCACAGGCCAGACGCGTCACGCGGAAGCCACACCCCCATTGTCAATGGCAAAACTGTCCCGATACATTGCGCGACATCACGTGACCTTATGAGTTTAACAGGTCTGATGTACAGCAATGCAAATAAGGAATAAATATTCACAATTTATGATGATATAGTATGCAATAAGATTGAATATTTTTATTTTGGAATATATATGTTTATATATTAGAATTCAACATTATGGAAGCACAAGCAATAGAACACAGTCAAACTAGAGTCTTGGACTTTAAGAGAACTAATTTCAATAAACTTAGGGCTTGGGAAGGATTCCATGGATGAGAATCCACAAGGGGAAAACAAATGATTGATCCAATAGTGGGGGAAAGTGGCAAGAAAGTGACAAGCAACAGGGAGAAAGCAGAACTATTTAACTCGTTTTTTGCATCTGTCTTTACACAAAGGAAAAAAAACAGACCAACCTATCAAAAATAGTGCCATAAAAAATAGAATAGAAACACAAGTTAAGATAGGCAAGAAAATGGTAAGTGAGCACCTGTCCAGCCAAGATGAGTTCAAATCACCAGGACCAGATGGATTACACCCCAAGGTTCTCAAGGAAGTGGCAGATGTGATCTCAGAACCACTGAATTATATCTTTCAAAGATCCTGCAGCACTGGGGAATTACCAGAGGACTGGAAAAGAGCTGATGTAGTTCCCATCTTCAAAAAAAGGGGGGGAAAATGGATCCAGGAAATTACAGACCTATCAGCCTGACCTCAGTACCTGGGAAGATTCTGGAAAAGATAATCAAACAACAAATCAGCGAACACCTAGAGGCAAACAAAGTCATTACTAAAAGCCAACATGGGTTTGTCAAAAACAGATCATGCCAGAAGATCTTATCGCATTCTTTGACCAAGTGACAAAATTAGTGGATCAGAGGAATGCTGTGGATATAATTTACTTCGACTTCAGTAAGGCATTTGATAAAGTAGATCACAACCTACTACTTGATAAGATAGAAAAATGTGGGTTAGACAACATCACCACCAATGGATTCAAAGCTGGCTGACTGGCCGTACTCAGCGTGTGGTCCTCAATGGAACAGCATCTACATGGAGGGAAGTGTGTAGTGGGGTGCCCCAGGGCTCTGTTCTGGGCCCAGTGCTCTTCAACATTTTCATCAACAATTTGGACGAGGGCATATATGGGGAACTCATCAAATTTGCAGACGATACCAAGCTGGCAGGAATAGCCAACACTCCAGAAAACAGGCTTAAGATACAGGAGGATCTGGACAGACTTGAACACGGCACTATCTAACAAAATGAAATTTAATGGTGAAAAAAGTAAGGTTCTACATTTAGGCAAGAAAAACCAAATGTACAGGTATAGTATAGGAGGTACCTTGCTCAATAGTAGTAACTGTGAGAGGGACCCCGGAGTCCTAGTGGACAATCACTTAAATATGAGCCAGCAGTGTGCTGCAGCTGCTAAAAAAGCCAACACAGTGCTAGGCTGCATTAACAGAGGGATAGAATCAAGATCACGTGAAGTATTAATACCACTTTACAATGCCTTGGTAAGGCCACACTTGGAATACTGCATCCAGTTTTGGTCACCACGATGTAAAAAAAGATGTTGAAACTCTAGAAAGAATACAGAGAAGAGCAACAAAGATGATTAGGGGACTGGAGGCTAAAGCATATAAAGAACGGTTGCTGGAATTAGGTATGTCTAGTTTAATGAAGAGAAAGAGGAGGGGTGACATGATAGCAATGTTCCAATATCTCAGGGGCTGCCAGAGAGAAGAGGGAGTCAAGCTATTCTCCAAAGCACCTGAAAGCAGGACAAGAAGCAATGGATGGAAACTAATCAAGGAGAGGAGCAATCTAGAATTAAGGAGAAACTTCCTGATAGTTAGAACAATTAACCAGTGGAACAACCTGCCTCCAGGAGCGGTGAATGCTCCAACATTGGAAGTTTTTAAGAAGAGACTGGACAGCCATTTGTCTGAAATGATATAGGGTTTCCTGCCTGAGCAGGGGGTTGGACTAGATGACTTCCAAGGTTCCTTCCAACGTTATTATTATTAGTAATAATAATAATACAGAATATTTACAGATTTACATTTCATTTAAATATTATATTCTATTACTGTTTTATAACTGTCCAAAAAAGATAAAACCTCAAACCCTTTTTTGTGTGTCATAACACTTTATCCCCAAACCAATCAGAAAAAAAAAGACTTGAATTTCTAATTTAATGAGATTTGATCAAAGTATCTACAGGTACTTTATAGTAATGGAAGACAATTTAAAATGTTTAAATAAAGTTTCTAAACTGTTTTTAGACTTCTGTTCAGGCAAAACCAATATCAGTTAAAATTAGGAGACATTAATTGAAGTTGCTACATAATTAGTCTCTAACCTTAAGGAACTTGTGTTCATTAGAACTAGAGATACACCTAAGGTTTTTGCAAAGCTGTACCTAAATTAGATTATATTTACAAACAATATGTGGTGGTCTTATATAAAAATTCAAAAAAATTGTATTCAAATGAGGGAAAATAAATAAGCAAAATGGTGTCCTGGATTCTAGATTAGCCTTATTAAATGAAGCAAATGAAAACTGTTTGATATAATTTTATTATCTATACACAAAGTGGAATAAATTCATGTATTCCTAAAACAAATACTAATCAATGGTCAGATTTTTATTTATTTAAAGGGAAAACTGAGCAATATATTTTTCTCCATTATTGTTTACAACTATATCTAATATATTTGGAAGTTATATATTAACAGAATTATATATTTGTACTATGTACTTAAATTTAAAATGATAATTTACAGTTTTTATAAAAAAATAGCTGCTAAGCTTTACTACACATGATACTTAATTTGTCTGAAGTAGGTATGTCTTTGGTATTTCAATAAACACTTATGTTTGATTAATTGAACTATTGTATCTATTTTCAGTTTGAGAACCTAGTGGAAAGTGATGAAGTAAGTTCTTCATATTGACTTTATTAGATTCAGTAGATGTATTATATATGCAAATTAGATTATAAGATATTTGAAATTAGAGCAACTAAAAGTGTAGTGAATTGGAAAACTATTTAGAAGAGGTGGCACTTAAGATTTATTTAATTCTTAGAATTAATTTTATGAACTGCACCACTCCCTTTAGTTTCTGGTATTAGGGCAGAATGTTATACTCCATGCTTTAAGAGTAATCACAATTCTGTATTATTTAAATTATGTTCTTTTTTGACAAAATTATATAATGTTCATATTGTTATGTAATAATGAATCCTTTGTGAGAAACTTAGCTCTTGGATCAGGGAAAATAATAGTATTGGCTTTTTCAAAGGGATGCTAATAAAGATCCAATCCTTTTATACACCTCAGGGTGTATAAATACTGTATAGATACTAGGAAAGGATTCCATTTTAGAAGCCTTTTATATGGGCTTTTTCCCATTTGCTTGCTGAACATGCCTCTGACATACTTTGAAGGAAAATGTTGTAAGCACCCTTAATATAAATTTATCATAGATACATGTATAATATATTCAAAATAGATATAAGTACTATATAAGAGATTGGCATGGCATCCAAGATTTTCTTTGTAAAGCATATCTTTATTGTTTTTAATAATAATAAAACCTCTTATTTAGTAAAGGAAGATAAACTTCACATCTTGCTTGTGATCTTGTCCTCTAAGAAGCCCTAACAGCTATTTTTATAGATGAGAAAACATGAGAAATGTGAATATCCAGTTTCTTATTAATCGTGAGAAACCTCAGTCCTATGATTAAACAGATTTGCTTCTGTAACACTTAGTGTAACCCTAAGAGGCAAAACAATTCTGAGTCTTAAAATATAATTTGAAGACGATAAAAATAATATATCTGTTGATCAACTGATGTACATTCCTTAGACTTGCTGTTCAATTTGATTTAAAATTCAAACAGTTGCAATTCCAGTTCAGGGAAGAATAGAAGAAGGATTTAGATATTATAGACTGAAAATATAATAGGTGTTTTTCTAAATATTTAAATTTGACAAAGTTTTATATTGATTTAATATTTTAAAAGATTGGAGGTTTAAAATCATATATTTCAGATCTATTTTGAAAATAACTTGATAATTAGGTTCATTTTTAAATAGCATTTTTTTTAAACAGGGTGAAAGTCCAGGAAGCAACCAAAGGTATGAGTTTATATTAATGAATTGATTTGCTTTCCTTTTTCTCTCTTATATAATCTCCTTGCTTCATTCTTTTTAATCATCTACTTTTTCAATTTAATTCATTTCAGCAAGTTGACATTTTTGAAATCTCAAATACTGATTTGATTGTAATGTTAGTTCTTTTAAGAAAGTTATTTTTAATCACTGGAATATCAGTTGTAAGACAAATTCTGCTAGTTATGGTCCTAGAAAGTTTATTCTTCATGGGTTTGCAGAAAAGCATAAAATGGTTATCTCTGACTAATAGGGAAGACTTGCTGACTTTAAGAGAAAATGTCTAATAGTGGAATTCTTGATATTAAGATAAACTAAAGCTCAGTATGAAATGCATACATTGGATTTCACAAAAATTGATTAACCTAGTGAATTGTTTGATAAGAACATTAATCAGCAACTCATCAAAGTGGACTGAGGTATACAGTGAGATGTCATAGCATTTGGTCCTTGTCTTAATCCTCTCCAACATATTCATTAATGATTTGCATGAAGTGGAAAACATTGTGTGTTTTCTCTTGTCTCAAAAGGAGACTGATTCTCACTGAATGTTTGGAAAAACTTGCTAACGAGAAGTTAAATTCAATTGTGGAACTAATTACTAAGGAAGATGGTGAATACAGATGTGCAGCATGGAGCAATTCAGCTGTGACACCTTTACTTTTCTGTTGAAACATTATGTTTTTTCCTTGACAAGACTGATCCAAACATTCTGAAGTTGGCTTATGCATATTGTCCAGAACAGATAATGATTTGTGGTGCTGGACATGATCCAAACCCAAACACTCCATTTTGGTTTGTGGTGAATTCTTCTCATTGGATGAGTTAATGTGATTGCTCGGCCCTCTGTTAAAAGATTTTTATTTAGAGTTCCACAGTGGAGATAAAAGAACATGGATCACAGTAAATTTAGTAAAAAAAAAAAATCATAAAAAGGAATTGCACTGTATAAAATCAGTTGTATACTATTTGCTTTTTAAAATATTTAAAATACTAACTATTTGTAAAGCCTCTTCTGTTTCAGTATAATTTGAGTAGTAAGATGTAAAACTGAAATATAAGCAAAAATAGATGCAAAACTTCACTTCTCTATTGGATTGTTGGGTTTTTTTTAATGTAGCAATAGCAATATCACTTAGATGTATATACTGCTTGACAGTGCTTCACAGCCCTCTCTAAGCAGTTTACAGAGTCAGCAGCACATTGCCCCCAACAATTTGGATCCTCATTTTACCTACCTCAGAAGGATAGAAGACTGAGTCAACCTTGAGCCTGTAAGAATCGAACTGCTGGCAGTCAGCAGAATTAGCATGCAATACTGCATTCTAAACACGGCACCACCATGGCTCCTATAATGATTACTTGTCTCGGTGCTCAGAAAAGATGCCTCAGTACATATTTGTATGCCAACAATTTCTTATCATTCTAATTCTTAAATGTTGAAACTGACTTTCCTGCTCTGAAGAGAGCAGAATGACAGGTGTGGCATTCTTTCTTCTTTTTCTTCAGACCTCTTACAGAAGAAGAAATTTCTGCTCTTCAAGAAAGGCAATATAATTCCATTGCTGAAAAACAGAGAACTTTAGATGACAAGCTTCAATCGGAGGTGAGCATAGTAACTCTTTGTCGATTAACAAATAATTTATACTTGATGGCATTGAAAGCTTCAAACTTTGGACCCAGCTTTACAGTCAGTGCTTATGGAGTCTGGAATAATTGTCTAAATAGGTAGTATATTCAAATAGCGATGTATTTTTTTTCTGTGAAGAGAAACATTAGAAAGGTTGTGCAGTTATCTTCCTAAGGAGATATATCAGGTACTTAGCTTAATATTATTTTCCCATTCTGTAAGATTTTTGTTGTTATTTTCAGCTAACTTCCTATCAATAAATTTTATTTTTATCAAATACTTTATTGATTATTGCTACTTTGTTTGCTTTAAGCTACTATAATGTATCCAGGAAATTTTTAGTTAATGAGTAATTAGAAATATATTAAGAAAACGGGATAATAGCATATGCCACCGTGAAAAAGATTGTACGTGTTCATTTCAGTATCACTCTGAAAATTAGAAATAAGATCAATAATCACTTGAATATCCTTTATTATAAAACTGCTTGGCATGGGAAAACAAATTTAACAGAAGACTCCTTGCTACTGTTCTGCTTTATAGTAATCATATTATAAACACAGGGGAAAATCAAAAATGTGTCCTTTGAGTAGTTGAAGTACTGAAAATGTATTGTGTAACAAAAATGTTTCTCACTATTTGTCTTGTAGAGATACATGCTGTGTAATTTAATCTGGTGAAATTTCTTCCCATATATTGCAGTTAGAATTCTACATCTATGAATGTAGATAGCATAAAAACATGTCTAAATAGGTAACTCCAACAGTAAATAATTGTGCTTTCAGCTGATATCATGCATATGAAGGCACTCAAGTTTGAAAATAGTTCCCTCAGGCTCAGAGCAACCGGTTCAATTTAGACCAAGCAACTGTTGCTTCATGGATAAATGTTTGTTGCTGCCTGAATACAGGCTCAAATCAATGTTACTTTTAGAATGGGAGTAATTATTACTTCATTCTTTATCAGTATTCAAGGATTATTTTTTGTCTTCTCCTTTGTCTTACATAAGTTATTACCATTAACTTTAAATGCTTTAAATGTCTACCTCACAGCTCATATAAAAAGCGTAATAGAAAAAGATTAAACTAAACAAAATTAACAGAATTTTAAAATAGCATGCATAGTACAATTAAAAGTTGTGTTGAATATGGAAATACTTTATTTTAAAATCTCATTAGTATATTTTATGTTTCAGATTCTTTATAAGTACCTTTACTTTAAATTTAGTGCCCTTACTTTCATAGGAGAGATAGCTAGGTTTTCTTTTGTTAACCATTATTATTTTGTTCATATACAGTTAGCCATACAAGAGGAGAAGTTAAGAATAGAAGAGGAGACTTTATATGCTGTGCAGCGTGAAAGAGCCAGGGCAGCAAAGCAAAGAAAGTTCTTGGAGGTGAGGGGAAAATACCCCAAAATATATGTATTAGAGTGTTTGTTTATATCTTCCTCTTAGATTCATGTGCTTTTTTAAACAACATCCAGCATCAACACTGATTTGAAACAATTTCTATTTTTTTTCTAATCTCTCACTAGATATGGGCTTATAATGCTAAGCCATTTTTTTTTTTTTACAATTATAGTTCATACTATGTAGACAAGTTGCTACTGTTCTCTGATATGCAGGTTTTTTTTTTGGCCAATAAGTATTGTTGAACAGACAAAGGAGTCCTGTGTAATATAACATGCATGCAAAGATCCTTGCTTTCTTCCTGTTTTAAATTCCAGCATTTATTGGCTTTAACTTGTGGATAAATCATAATATTTCAGTTTACATATTTGCACACAAAGCTCTTCTGCAGAATTTATATATAGACCCTTAATTCAAAAAAATAAGATGAAATGTTTAATTCTGCATTAACAGCTTAGTGTAAAAATATGATATACGGGCTTATTCAAAATTGTTGACTGGCAACAAGAGAGCCCACTTGCCAAAAGAAAGGTAAGAACTTGAATATTAGGATGCAGAGGGAAATTATTGGAAGCAAGGAAGGAAATATAATATAATCCATAAAATAAATCTGAAAACCATCAGGAAATAGTCATTAGCATTTCATATTATAGAACACATAGAATGAGATCCCAATTAGTTATGAAATTTACTGAGAACTGGCTTAAATATTAATATATTTCAACTATATTTGTCTCGAAGTGTTGTAGGAAATAACCAAATTTACTGAGAACTGGCTCAAATAATATATTTCAACTATATTTGTCTCGAAGTGTTGTAGGGAATAACCATGTATGTTCTTACTTTTATTTGGAATATGAATAGAATCATTATCATTACAATCATCTATAAATAAATATTAGTTTTGATTCTTAAACAATTTGTAACTTTGCTTCTTTTGTTCTATTTTTTTTTTTTGCTCAACTTTTCTGATTCATTAAGTGATTACCTACAAGGCTAATATTATTTAACTCTCCTACCAAGCAACATTATAAACCAGTTTAGCTGATTTTAAAAGTCCTGTAAGACAGTTTATTAATGAATTGATAGCTACAAGAAATTAATAAATTAGGAATTTTCCTCTAAAGCCAGGTGTATCAGAAGAGAGATCTTTGTTAGAAGTCTTTATTGTTTGCCCAGGTTTCAACAAAACTCTGGGGATTTGTTTGTTTGTTTGTTTGTTTGTTTATTGAAAAGGATTTCAAATCAAAGGTGAGTGGAACACCAGGCCTGTGTAAGAATATAATGCGGGGCTGCCCTTGAAAAGCATCTGAAAGCTTCAATTAGTTCAAAATTCAGTGGTCTTCATGATTTTGTGCAGACCCAGGTGTGCACATGTGTTACCTTCTGCGGGAGCTGCATTAGCTGCCTATTTGCTTCCATATGCAATTCAAGACTATAGAATAAGTAACAATGGAGGGTACATGTTTGTGTAAAAAACATACTGTGCTCAGGTACCTGAAGCAGTTTGTTAGATTGTGCTCTTTATATAGAAAAAAGTGAGAGATGCCATTGTTTCAAAGGCTCCTTTAGTGAAGATATTAACAGCCCAGCCCATCAAGTGAATTAGATGAAAACTTGCTACAACAGTTCCACATACTAAACTGCTTTTACATATTACTCATTTAGAGAAATGTTGTGTTTAAATGCCCAAGTACATTTTTTTTAAGCAAAGAAAATGTCTTAATATTCTTTTTTCTACACTTTCAAAAGCAGGTATTTATTTTTCCCTTACCATACAACATTACTTTTTCAAGAATGAGTTGACCTATGATCTCAGCATCAGGATTATATCTTGGATTATATTCTCTAATTTTTAATTTGTTACAAGGTAGAATTCTCAGAGATGTCACAAAAATTATTTTTGTCATTTACAAGCAAAATTAAATGATGGATATTTTTTAACTCATCCTCATACTTGAATTGTCTGATTTGATAATGTCTGGCAGTCTATATTATTTTATTCACATAACATAAATACATTCCAGTGCTAATGAGAAACAATATATCAGACATGGAGTGCAAACGAACATATATGTTATTTTGTTGAATACTGACGCTAGAAATTAATATGCTACTTAGTATAATGATAATACTACTTATGCTCTTGGAGGATCTTATCACTTAAGTAGCTGTTTCTTGTTTTTCTTATTTTTGTTAGCAACAAAAGTTGCAGAGAATAATTCAGAAAGCAAACCATGGAGATGCCCAAAGGTAAGAGGAACAACTAAAATTGAGGAATTCTAAATCTGTACAGTGAAAAAATATTTAAAATTTGAATTTCAAATAGTAGAATTTTATAATGCTAGCATTAATGCAAAAGCTAATGCAATCATTTTACTAGATAAGGTTTTCAGTTCTACATATGATTATCCAGAAATTAATTTTTGACAGCCGCTTATGCAGCATGCTTTTCTTAAAATTAAAACAAAGCTAATAAATTTTGTCAACATAGTAGACCTGTTTTCATTTCCAAAATATTTCTCTGAACTTGGCCTACTTGATATAACTTCTTTTTATAGTTCCATGGTAGAAGAAGACTTGGATTCTTATTTGAGAAATGTAAAACCACCATATGAAGCTTTCCGCACTAGTAGTAAGTTTCCAATATATATATTTTCTACATTTTTCCTCTGTTTGTAATTTGCTATTTTACCCACATGTCAGTGAACATAAAATATTCTATGATGTCTTACATGAGTCATAAAATATGATTATGAATTACAACCATTCAATTTATTTTCAAAACAAGCAATGTCTCTGGACTTCTGAAAGACAGAAGTCCTTATTTAGGAAGGTTTGTTTGACAAAGAAGAAATGTTGGAGAGAGATGTTTGCAGATTCTGCTGTAGTTCCTATATCCTCTCCAAGAAGATCACTTGCTCCATGATATAGAAGAACAAGAGGCAGAGCTTGTGATCAGAATCAAGAGAGCAATTATTATATAATCATTACATTCCCATTAGTGGTCCAAGTCCAGACTCCTCTTGAATTCCGTTAACTCTTGTCTAGCACTAGTTTAGGGCTAACCATTAGTTGACTAGATTCTGAGCTGTGGTGGTACAGTGGTTAGAATGCAGTATTGCAGACTGGCTCTGCCCTTGCTAGGAGTTCAAACCTCACCGACTGAAGGTTGATTCAGGCTTCCATCTTTCAGAGTTCGGTAAAATGAAGACCCAGATTGTTGGGGGGCAATATATGACTCTGTAAACCACTTAGAGAGTGCTATAATGCACTATGAAGTGATATATAAGTCTAAGTACTATAGGCATGAGTAATACATCAGCTTAATTGGGACTTAAAATGTGGTCCTGATTCTTTGCACCCAACATATCCACAGTTAATTTTTGGAAACTATAGATGGCTTTAGGGAGTAAAGATTGCTTTCCTTTATCAGAAGTACTTGTGGAACCAAGTTTTGTTTTCAAGAAGTTCAGTCCACTAATTTACTAAATTTTAGTATTGCTAAAACATTCATTTAGCTGTTTATCATAACTGAAAAATTGAAATAATTGAAAAATTGAAAAATAATGTAAATTAATTCATTTTACTAAAAATCCTATTACTTTCTGAAATAACTTCTAAGCAATTTGTAGAGAACTTTTCAGTGTGCAAATGAGGAATTATTTCTCCTGTCCTTTTCCCTCCTATTTCCCTCCTCTTCTTTTCAAGTACATTTTTTTTTTATTACAGGACTTTCATCAGATGCCACTGTTCTAACACCAAATACAGAGAGCAGTTGCGATTTAATGACCAAAACCAAATCTACAAGTGGAAATGATGACAGTAATTCCTTAGATTTAGAATGGGAAGATGAAGAAGGTATGTGTTCTATCCTGTAATAATTATTTAATTGATCTAAAGTGATCCAAAACTGATTCAACACAGTGGATGCTGTGGGTTTTAAAAATCAGAAGTGCATTATTGTTTTAAAATTTCATAAGCTGTGTAGGTTTCCAATCCCTCTGAAGGAAGCATGAACAAAGAAGAAATTGAAGTAGGTAATCTTAAACTGGCCTGAATATTTGCATTTGCACAAACAAGTAATATTAATATTAAAATACCTGAATTAATTTAGTCATGTAAAATTTATGTTTCCCAATCTCTTGTGATGGACGTGCTATGGCTCTTGAAAACTACAGGTATTTTGGGGATAGTTGCTAGTTTTATCCTAGTTGTTCTATTCTTTATAGCAGTGGCCAGCAGACCATTGGTTACAATCTGCTCAGTCCCTCACTACCTGGCAACTTTTCTAATGGTACATAGTTTCTGTGATCAAATTATCCACCATCAGGTCAAATACGAATCTCCTAGTACAAGAAAACATCAACGTTATCTTTTTTTTTGTAATATATTTTATTGATTTTTTAAAAAATATAAATCACTTGATAATTGGTGAACAGTGTGTTGTCTGGGTTACATTTGTAAAACAATCATTAACAATTAATTTCTCTAATCCATATTCCACATAATAATTTTAGTTGATTTCTTCTTTCCCCAAAATATCCTCTTTTGCAAACATTAGGTTAATACAATTCTTATTGTTTTGATAAATAACAATTGAATATATATTTTTTCCAATATTTCTAAAAATAATAATCATATCAGTATAATATTCCTTTTCTATTCAGTCATTCTGGTTGCCTTATCATAGATCCTGTTACAATCCTTATTTTAGTTTATTTCTCCCACCAAATTCTAGATATTCTTACTGGTGAAGATTTTCTCAAAAATTAATTACATTTACATTTACAAATTTGACTCTATTTTTCCCATATAAGCCATCTCACACTTTTACATTTCTTAAGAAATAGATAAAACAATGAAAAAAGAAAGGAGAGCAAGAGTAAAGAAACATAAGAAATAACATACTACTTAAAATATATATCCCTCCTAGGCTAATATATATTTATTTCCTCAATTTCTTATTCTTTTTAACCATAATTAAGAGTATATTTAGTCTTTAATCTTTAAACATTCCATTCAATACATCTAGTCATCTATTCCTTTAACTCTTATTCAAAACATTTTATCCATTATAATTTTTTTAAATTCAGTCACATTTAAGTATTTAAAACATGTCCTTTATTTAAGACATTTCAACTTTCTTATACTACTCATACCAAGAAAAAGAGAGAGAAAAGCATACTATATTATTTAGAGAGTTCATCCCTCTTAGAATAACATATATATTCCAAAATTTTTCTATTTTTTTAACCATATTCAAACAAATGTTTCTTTTTTAAGTATTCTCTCTGATAAGTCCCATCATCTATTTTCTTGGTTTCCATCTTGGTCTTTTTCCTTTGCCCAGTATCTTTCTTAGTCGATGTATTTTGCTGAATCAAAAGGTTTTTCCGTATGTTCGAAAATGTTGGTGTAGATATAAAAAGTAAATCAGTATCTTTGTTAGGGGCATTTGCCCACTCATTTTTACTGGGAGTCTTTTCCCTTCTTTTTTTCTCTGCTTCTCTTGTCACTTTTTGTCTCTCCAGTTCCAGTGTTTTCCCTGGTATCTCTGTAGTGTGTTTTATCCAATCTTTTTTCTTGTCCTCAAGTTTGTTTTGTAATGTTGAAATATAAGTTGTCTTCTCCAAATCTAGTATTTCTTGTAAAAGAAATTCCACTTGGATTAAATCATACTCCTTTGTTTTGTAGAATTCCATCTTTAAGTCTCTATCCTCGAATTTATGTTCAGTCATCTGTTTTTTCTGTTCCTTCTCTATTGTGTTTTCCTGAGGGGTTTTTTTTATATAAAATTGAATTGGAGATGAGTTGATTTATATTTTCAAAGTTATTCTGAATTTCTTTGTGATCTGAGATCATTGTTATTTGAATTAGTTGCAACATATCATATATCTCATCTTGAAAAGTATTCATTTTTTCTTGATAAGTATTTCCTATAAATCTCTGATTTTCCATGATGACCAAAAGTCCAGATTCCCCCCCCTCCCGGAAATAGCTTTGGAGTTGAATAAATACTTATAGTCCAGAGAGTTCAAAAAAGCTTTTTTTGTTCCCTCAGATTTGTAAGTCTCACTATCTACACAGCTGTTATTGTTATTGTTAAAGCTTTGAAGGTCACAAGTAGAGATTAGTTTTTTCCCCAGATTTTACCATGACTGTCTTAATCCTCATCCACCAGTAGGTGTCAGTACTGGTTCATTTTTCAGATTTTATTCCTCCATGAAAGGTTCAATTCACCAAAGGGTGGGGGGGAAAAACCTCCATCACTCTTGGAGGTTTTTTTCCCCCCCTTGGGAATTTCTCCCCTTCAGGAAAGTTGATAGGTAGGATAGAGAAAATCAATGTTCTTACCCAGATTCAAGCATGCTGTTTACGATCACCTTAAAATAGTGCTTTTGACTTCGATTGCTCACAGCTTGGGCTAGACTCTGGAGTTAGGCTAGCCTTTCTCCTGTTGGTTTCTGGAAGGCTTCTCCTGGACCGATCGGTTTGACCGCAATCTCTCCAAGATCCCTGGGACTTCCTTCTTTCATTGCCTCCTCTCCGGGGTGGCTTCTAGCCCATTTAGGGTCCTAACAGGAAGAAACTCAGCTGGAGGGCAGGGAGTCCTGAACTCCTCAACTGCTGCGCTGCCTACATGCAACATTATCCTTACTAATATGAAAAACTTAGGACTCAGAGATTCAGACAAAAGAACATTCTTGACATGACATGGTATACAAAATAATTCAAATGGTAAATTCACTTTGGGAATACAATTTAGTACAAAATTTAATTTTAAAAGGCCTTTAAAAATAAAGATAAAGCAAAGCATATAAAAATGTAAATATAAGAATTATCTTATTGAAAAGATAATGCTTAAAAACAGAATCATAGGAGTTGTTTGGGCGCCCTCCCCCATATTTTTAAATATTTAGTAGTCCACAACAGCAGAACATATAAAAACTTGCTATATAGATAGTCCCCAAGTTATGCCATTTGTTCAGCAGCCATTCAGAGTTACAGCAGCACTAAACAAATGGTACCTACACCCAGTCCCTGAAATTTCGGGTACTTGGCAGCTTGCCCATACCTAGAACTGCAGGGTCCCTTCAACCCCCCCCCCTTCCACACACACCTATCTCCCTTCCCTGTGGCACTCTTTGGCAACGATGCTGGGGTTGAATAGAGGCCCAGGACCATCAACAGTCTCAGCTGGCCACCATTGTCTTTGGACTTCTATTTCAGTGTAACCAGTACCTAGGAGTGAGCCTCAAGTCCCATGCTAGGCTAGCCACCACAGTGCAAAGCCCTTGCCACCCTGCTCTCTACAGGTCCTGCTACACCAAACTGACCTTAGCTGCTAAGTAGACATGCCTGATCTGGCCCTATGGGAGGTAGCTGTGGCCATGCCAGGCTTTCTTCCTGTGCTCATGCACAGGAAGCTTCTCACAAAGCTTTGGAAAGCCTCAGAAGCTAAGCAATGTGGTTGTGTGATGTTGCACTTCATGACCACATTGCTTAGTAATGGAAATTCCAATCCCAATTACTGTTGTTAACTGAGGACTACTAGTATTCTTCTGTTTGCATTGCAAAAAAATGAATTTTCCTCAACCATAAAATAATTTTGCTACTGAAACAGATATTGTTAGAAAAATCAGTATGTTGCTGCTTTATTCTTAGATTCACAGAGCATACATAGGAAAGACTAAAATCTGGCTGTTTATTTATATATATTTCTACATATAATAGTACAGAGAATGTTCTGCATATTTATATTGCTTATATATAAATCGCACAAGAACAAATTTGATGCATGGAAGGTAAGAGAAAGTATACTTGTTTTTTTCATAAGCTAAGACAACAGCTGCAGAAATAAACTAGGTAGGATTTTAAAAGACTAAAATTAATTTTTGTCATAGTGTTCACTCTATTTGTTAGTTTATTTATTTTCTTAATACTGTGTTTCCCAGAAAATAAGACTGGTCTTACTTTTATTTTGCCTCCATAAGTGGCACCAGGTCTTATTTTTGTGGGGTGTCTTGAGGCAGCATCGACAGCCCCACCCAGCCGGCCCACTTCTTCTGCGGCCAAAGTAGCATCTTCATTCTGCAGCTGAGAATGGAGCCCTGGCCTGCATTTTGTTGTCAGAGGCCTTCTGGAAAGGCCTCTGACTGCGAAATGCAGGGCAGGGGACACCGCAGAAGAAATGGGCCAGCAAGGAGAGGCAGGTGTCGATTTATGAGAGGCGCCTGGCAAGTGTGTTCGGGGCGTGTGGGGCCGCTCCACCTCCCCACTCCCTCCGTAGCTTGATTTTTAGGCGTGTGCCTCGCCCTAAAACTAGGGCTTATTTTTGGGGTAGGGCTCATATTAGGCCACCCCAAAAAATCAAGCTAGGGCTTATTTTCAGGGTAGGTCTTACTTTTGGGGAAACACGGTATATTAATTTAGATTGAGTTTGTAACTTGCTCATTTGGCCTTTTGGCTGTAAATAAAAATGATGATTGATTGATTGATTTTCTTAATATATTCTTCATCACACGTTTTGTCAAAAGTTTGTTTTAAAGCTGAATTCTGAAACCACTCTAAACTTGGCTATTGGTGAACTGGATTCTGTTCCATGAACATTCATGCCATGCTGATTCACTAAAAGTTTGAAGTACCATATCATTTCCTGGCTGCTACATGGATTTGCCTCCCAATATTAGACATTTTGCAAAAGAAATTGTAGTTATTTGATTCAGGATGTATCTACATGAAAGCTAAGAACCATGGAAAGAAAACTTTTAAATCATTCAAGAATTCTATTAAAAACATTTTTTAATGGCAGGTATAAACAGAATGATCCCTTTGAGGGAACGTTCAAAAACTGAAGAAGATATTCTCCGGGCAGCATTGAAATTTAATGGCAAGAAAACTGGAAGTAATCCAACTTCTACATCTGATGATTCTACTGGTTTGGAATGGGAGAATGACTTTGTTAGTGCAGAAATGGATGATAACGGTAATTCAGAATACGCTGGATTTGTAAATCCTGTTTTAGAACTTTCTGCAACAGACCAAAAAACTTCTGGTGTTGATCAACAAGTGAGATAATGAAATTGCCCATTGGGTGCCTAGCAGAATGGTTGAAGTTGGAAAACCTACAAACCTGTATTGTGCACAATATTCTAATGACTGCTGCTGCTGCAAAGTCTCCTTTTACAATAAGAAAATGACACAGTGACTGGCCTTGGTGACTGAGCTCCAGATTTCTAGAAAAAAAAAAGGAATCTATGCTACCTTATGTCGATTAAACAATATGGTTTGTTAACAATATGGTTTGCTCTCTGAACTGAATTGTAAGTGCAATTTTTATCATTTACCTTTTAAATGTTTATACTTGAATGATTCTGTTAAGTCTATTTTTAGGTTTAAGCATACAGCAGCCTGCATTAAATATAGTGTTACAGCTTAATGTTTTAATCAATTATTCTATTTCAGTCTTTGTTTTTGTTTTTTCTTTAAATATAGTGGTACCTCGGTACTCATTGTTAATTGATTCTGGGAGATGCAATGAGTACCAGGACAAAATTTTCACATCAGAATGCATTGAGTACCAAATTCGATAAATTTCAAAGCAGTTGAGTACCAAAGTACTGCTGTACCTACATTAGCATAATTTTAGCAGGAAATCTGATCAGCATCTTTGTACTTGAAGTATGAAACTAGGAATAGGAATTCTGCTATGGCTTCCCAAGAAACATAGGATGCTGAATCAGTCTGTTGATCCATATAGCCCAATGTTCCAAGCATTCCAGTTCTTTGATGTTTCAAGTAATTCCCAGATTTATCTGGAAATGTTGAGGACTGGACATGGTGAAAGCAAACTACATGTTCTACTATTCAGCTAAAACATCCCTAACAGTTTTACATTTTTCCGTTCAATTTGTTTTGAAAATTAAATAAACTGTGAAATGTTTTTATTTCTCCTAGTGCTTTATTGAGATTAAATCTCAAGCACAATGTCTTACATTTAAAATGTGTGCTAAAGCATTATAAGTAAAATTAATCATGGCAGTAATAAGCCATGTAATTACCGAAATTTGGAAGTATTGAAGACATCTTTATTTCTGTAAAAACATTGGATTCTAAAATATAGACATGTGCATTTTTTAAAGTTCCACAGTTCTTTCAAATAAAAATTATAAATGCTTCTAATATAAAGTAGTAAATTAATTTTTAAATTGTGTATAATATTGCTTAATGGTAACTGAATGCTCTTCTGATTTGTACTTTCTGTGGCTGAATCAATGCAAATGCACATTCCAATCAAATTATATCTTTCTGAGGTATGTGAAACATTCCACTGTTGTAATTTAATTAAAATCAGTTTATCAGATTTAATAACTTCTGAATATGGAAGAGTGGTGACACTGTTATTCAAAAATGTTACTTTTATTACCAGTATGGTTTACATCCCCCAAAATTCCTGTACTTAATTGGTTCTAACCATTGAGATTAGAAAACTCTTCTTGTGAAGCTGTTTTTCTGATGAGACAAAACCTGCTTTGGAATGGTGGTTACATTTGTATGATAAAGCAGACATGTCTTCCTCACAAGTATCTGATTCATAACAATTTACAGAGTTTAGCAATGTAGTACTGTAAATCAGGGAGCAGCAGTATTTACTTCCATACCTCGAGTTGTTGAACTTCATTTTGTCCTACCAGTCATGCTCTAAGCACTTACAAACTTCTGACAAAAGTTTTCTTGCAAAGCATTTACAATGAAATACCATAGACACATATAGACATGATGGCTTCTAGCAGCTGCTGCTACAAGTAGAAAGAAAAACCAAAGCTGCACTACTGAAAATTATTTATTTTGTTTTTAAAAGTGTGTCTCCTTCAAGTCAAGTTTGACAAAAAAAAGTTCATGGATATGAAAAAAAAAAGTTACTTTCTCCTAAACCCACTAATTTTTTTTTATCTTTTCTATTTTGCAACACTCTAGAAGTTGCATGACAGTATCTTTTTTCCACTTCTCAGTCTAGGCTATAGCTATGGTACTGACTGGAATCACTATCCCAAGTACTACTCAGATCTGACCTTAAGTGGGTTCCAAGCACTGACAAAATTAACCAGAGCTGCCATTTGCTGAACAAAAGCTGAACATCTCTTGTACCTTTGCTACCAAAGGCAGTAGTGGTTTCTAAAACCACTAAAATGCACACTAATAACTACATATATTCTACTTGGTATGCTTGTGCTTGGCATTTGTCTCTTTGCTGCTCTACAAAAAACTTATTGCCACATTGATTCATTAACTCTTTTATAGCTTGATTAACTTACAGATTATGATTGTTATGATTTCAGATTCAGAATATTTATTGTTTACATTATTCACATCTCCAGAGTTATGGGTTTAAAGAGGTCAGCGACAGTAAAGTTATATGTTTATATGTAAAAATTTAACTAATGTATACCAAGATCATCATTTGATTTTTTTTCCCGTGCTTTTTAAATTTAAATTCAAAGACACATTTTACTATTCATATCTTACACAAATATTTCTTTATATATTGCATTTCTAAAGTAGAAGTTTGTTGCTGAAAAAGAGTTCCGTATTTTCAGTTCTTGTAATATGCTTATTACACATATATATATGATTTAACATGATTTGTCATTTTTGTTTAAGCTACCAATCTTTAAGTTTAGATTTATCAAGCTGTGAATAAATTTTATACACACTTCATAACTAGCCTTATATTTTTTGAGTCTTATTGTTCCATTATATAATCCTCAACTTACAAGTTTGTTGTTTGAAGTTACATCAATGAAAAAGTGATTTATGATCATTTTTCACTTACAATCTCATGGTCATGTGATCAAAATTTGGATCCTTGGCAACAGACACGTATTTATGACGGGTCACGTGATCCCCTTTAGCAACCCTCTGACAAGCAAACTTAATGGGGAAGCCAGATTCACTTAATAACCATGTTACTAACTTAACAAGTGCAGTGATTGTTTAATAACTTTGGCAAGAAAGGTTATAAAATGCAGCAAAATTCACTTAACAAATGTCTCACTTAGTAACAGAATTCTGCTCAGTTGTGGTCGTAAGCTGAGGATTACCTGTACTTATTTTAGGAAGAAGGAGCTGTCTTTTTATGATGCCTTTTACTGGCTGTTTTATATAGATGTCCAATTATCTTTTGATTTTGAGATCTAAGTCTTTAAAATTACTACACTTTTTAAGAAGTCCTCATCTACAGACTTTAATGCCCACTCAAGTCCATAACTAACTAAGCAATACCCAATTCAGGACTTTAAATATTTTTTAAAAAATTGGTTTCCAAGTGTTAACCACATCATTGACCAAAATGTTTCTTAAAGATACTTATAAAAAGAAAAATATTTCTCTTGGTTCATCAGTTTAAAACACTGAGCTATCAAATGCTTTTATAAGCAAGACACATAATGTAGAACAGGCATGTCAAACTCACGACGTTGCGTGACGTATCGTGACTTTTTCCCCATTGCCGGCAATGGGGTGGGTGCAGTTTTGGTGTGACACATCCGGCCCATGGCTGGCAGTTTGACATGCCTGATGTAGAAGAAAATGTTGGGAGAGAAGAAGAGAAAAATGGAAGCATTAAGTTCCTAGTACAAATATCAGTACAACTTGGATCTAAATACAGAGAAATAGCTGCTACAAGTGGTTGATGGAGGGAAGGAAGGGATTTTTTCAAAGATATCAAAAGGTAGCAATGTTGAAACAATATTTATTCAATTGTTATGACTGGCCATTCATCAAATGGCTCTGGTAGTTCCAGAAAGATGCTAATCTATTGGCAATGCAGGTGAGGATACAAATATGGATTTACAGATATCATTTCAACTACCATAACACACAAGGTAAAGCTGACCACTGAATACAAAATTGTTTGAAATTGTTTTTCATGGAATTTTCCAATTTATTCATTCTCATCCATCTCTGTTGGAGAGCGGGAATATGAACTGCTACTTTCACATACTGGTTTTTTCAAAACTAAATTTTTTTCTTGTAACAATGACATTCTGGCCAATTCAAAGCAGATGTTAAAGTAGTCTTCACACTGTCCTTCTTGTTTTTGCAACAACATCTGGTAATCTCCAAAGCAAACCATACATTTATCTGGTAGATTGACTTTATTTAGATAGGCCAGTTCAACATTGTCCACAGTTAACTTTCCCTTTTTGCTCAGATTCTTAATCTCAAAACCAAACTCTGAGCTGTTGAAGTGCCTGAAAAACTGAAGTCCAAACTGAACACGTGAAACCCGTGAATCTAAAAAGTGAAAATGACAGATTTTCGAATCTCTTCCAAATTTCACTGTGTCATCTGCTCTCAGCTGTTGTTGGTGAAAGAATCTTAAAGCACCAAAGACTGGTTTTTCTTCTTGTTTTGGATGATAAATAGTGATTTGCAGACAAGTTACAGTCTCTTCAGTATCTTCAGTTTCAAAATCAGACATGGCAGTACTAATTCAGAAAATCCTAAAAGAACAAAGTATATATTAAAATCATTTTAAAATCAAATTGCTTCACACTTACTGGATGTTCATTCATGAAGAACAAAAAAAAATCTGCCACCAAAAATAGAAGCAAACATGCTTCAGCAAAGTCCATTTTGATGGGGATCATAAATATTTGACAGGGATGGAGGCTACAAGGTTTGGTCCCAGTAAACTTAAAATATGAAAAAAAAATCTTCAGATCAGATTTCAATTTACTGTTTTTTACTACATAGGAAGTATTGATTTATCTGATTGGTTCAAATACTGCCATTTATGGGGAGACCTAAATAGTTGTGGCCTATCCATCATCATTATCCTAAAGTCATGGCAGCACATAAAAGTAAAACCACAAAGGCAGCATAAAAACTATTGCAGAAGATATAACTTTAGTTCAAAAACAAAAACCGAAACTATATTTAGTTTGAGGCTTAAACCAAGCATCCTCATCCCTTACCCGGGGATGTACAGGGGGCCCGCGGCACCTATTCGTGTTGCTTTTCCTTCCAAAAGAAAAAAGAGTTGCTATCGAACTTCTAAATTATTTTCAGACAGGCGTCTCAGCTCCGCGTTAGCAGATGGCGGAGTCTTCCACGCCCGCTTGTCTTAATTCTGCTTACGTTTGCAAACAGAATGGAGCCCTTCCCTACGAGGGTTGCACTTTCGCTTCTATTTCCGGCGTGGTAAGTGGAAGTAAGACTCTACGGAAACATCCCACGAAAAATCAAGGCAGGCGTTCAACTCTGAAACGAAGCGAGGCTAAAGATTTCTTGGCTGACCTCCCACTCCACCCCGTTCTGATCTGAACTTTGCCAAGGGGCAAAAGCCAAGGTAAGCTGTCAGTCTTACTATAATCTATTGCTTCTCCCCGTCATTTTCTATAGTATTGCTGGTTTTGAGTTTAGCACGAGTAAGTTCGCGTCAAAAACCATCATCTGAAGGGGAGTGGGCTCTACCAAACTCTTATGTATTAGAAATTTAAATGATCAAAGCCTACAGTATTAACAGATCAATCGGTAGATCGGCTTCAAAATACGATTTGTTTTGCCTTCCTCCTGGGACCCACCTTTTCAAAGTGATCTCATAAGCAGCAGCAGCAGCACTAATGAGAGAGAAAGCGGATAACTGGAAGAAACGGATCCACCAAGCTCGCGAAAGGATGCCGCTCTGCAACTGCAGAAAAACATCCCCTACTTTTCTTTTCCCGCCCAGCAAAAGGGGAGGGGGTGACGTTAGGGAAGGGGATGAGTTTCATTTCTGGTGCATAACCAAAGTTCCTTCTTTCTTTCGACCGCAAAAATAGAAGGAGGGTGGGGCATGCGAGCTGGTAAACAAGACTGTAAAATGTCGATAAGGACTCATCTCTCCTTATCAGCGATACCGAGAAGATTGGAAGAGTGTTATTTCTTTCTCTGGAGACATCATTGTTTCACAACCAAACAATATGAAAAGATATTTCCATTTTGAAGTTCATTTCATATTTGAACATTTCTTTTGGAATTTATGGGATTTGGTAGGGTATTAGGTGTTTTCATACTTATCAACTTATTTCAAGTTTTAAATAGTTTGAGATCCTGCGAGAGAAGTTTAGATTGTCTAATACTGTGGAATGGCAGTGTATTCAGTTAAACTTTTTTTTAACTTTACAATTTTCTCCAGACACATTAGCCGCATCTAGACAAGCTTCTAAATTACTGTGAATACTGAAAAGTGCTTTGGACAATTTCAAATCTATAACTTTTAATAGGCAATTAATGAGTATTGCTAAAGTAGATAGTAGCAGTTTGCAAACACTTTAAGGTAAGGAGGTGGAAACTCATGTTCAAAAAAAATCAATAGTGAAAATTTAAAGAATATCAAGCATATTTTTTATTATCTCAAGATTAATTCAACAAAACTTCATGTGTACAGGTAATCCTTGATTTATGACCACAATGGAGCCAAAATTTATATTGTTAAACCAGACAGCTGTTAAATGAGTTGTGCCCTATTTTATGATCTTTCTGCCACAATTAAGTGAATCACTGCAGTCGTTAAGCGAACCATGTAGTCATTAAGTGAATCTGGCTCCCCCCCCATTGACTTGGCTTGTGAGAAATGAGCTGGGAAGGTCACAAAAATCACATGACCCTGGGACACTGCACATAAATACATAAATACATACAGGTCGCCAAGCACCCAAAGTCTGATCACATGACAGGGATGCTGCAATGGTCATAAGTGTAAAAACCAGTCATAAGTCACTTTAGCAGAGATGGCTAAATTGACTATTTTGATAAAAGAAAAGAATATAAGTACTTTGTTTCTACTTGGAAACCACTTCTGGACTTTTTGCTTGAGGTGGAAAAAAATGATACTGTGATTTTGGATTTTATTGATTAGATCAGGGGTGTCAAACTCGCAATGTCATTTGACATGTCGCGACATATCGCGACTTTTCCCCCATTTCAGGCAATGGGGTGGGTGTGGTTTTGGCGTGATGTATCCGGCCAGCAGTTTGACACCCCTGGGTTAAATTGATTTGTTCATATAGAAATGGCTAGTTCATACTACTATAGAAATGGTAAAAAGTTGAGGTTCAATGTTAATCCCTTATTTTACTGCAACAGAGGGAGTCAGAAGTCAACACCTTTTTTTCTTTCTTTCCCCTTTTCCACACTTCTCCTTTTCCCCTTTCTCTTTCGTTCCTTACCATTTGCTTTTGTATTTTCATATTTTATATTATAAATAAAATCATTTTAAAAATGTGAAATAAAGCAAAATATTCCAAATAGCAAATTCTTTATAGTCTGTCAGTTTGGTGGCATTCTCTCCATATTTTATTCTGCCTAAGGTTATTTGCTTGCGATGTTTGAGGAAAAGATGTATCAGCTGTGTAAGATCTATGAGCCGTGGTGGGGCAGGAGTTAGAATGTATTGCAGACTGACTCTGCCTATAAAGGCAGGAGATCGATCCTGACCAGCTCAAGGTTGACTCAGCCTTCCATCCTTCCGAAGTTGGTAGAATGAGGACCCATATTATTGGGGGAGATATGCTGACTCTGTAAACTGTTTGTAGAGAGGTGTAAAGCACTATGAAACTATATATAAGTCTAAGTGCTATTGCTAAAAGGTGGGAATATTAAAGTAAAGACTATTTTTTAAAAAGTCATTTTTTCAGTGCTATTGTAACTTGGTCACTAAATGAATGGTAATGGTAATAATATAGGTAGTCTTCAATTTACGACCACAACTGAGCCCAAAATTTATGTTGCTAAGTCAGACATTTGTTAAATGGATTTTGCCCCATTTTACAACCTTTCTTTCCACAGTTGTTAAATGAACCATTGCAGTTTTTAAGTTAGTATCACAGTTGTTAAGTGAATCTGGCTTCCCCTTTGACTAGGTTTATCAAAAGGTTGCAAAAAGGGATCACATGACCCTGGGACACTGCAACTGTCATAAATATGAGTCAGTTTCCAAGCATGCAAATTTTGATCACATGACCATGGGGATGCTGCAATGGTCATAAGTGCAAAAATTCGTCATAAGTCACTTTTTTCAGTGCTGTTATAACTTTGAATGATCACTAAACAAACTGTTGTAAGTTGAGGACTACCTGTAATGTACTTTATGAAACAACTTATGAAGCAACCCTAATTTCACCTAAGACTCTTATAAGCCTCTTTTAAAGTTCCTGACCTTCACTGACCTGGCCCTCCTGGACTACAGTTACAGTATTAGGCCTTCATGTACATGATAATTCAGAAATATTTCAAAAGAGTTGATTGCCAGGTTCATCATGGTCAAAGAATAAACTTTTTATATTACTTAAATTTTTGTAGCTTTTTATAACTTTCAAATTTCGGGGTTGCTTGCTTGTACAGGTGGCTTAGCATGTTATATAAAATGATGGTCAATTTGCAAATTTAGTTAACTGTTGCTTTTTTGAAAACAATGGCTTAATTCACTCTGAACCCAGCCTTGTCAAAGTTAAATCCACAAATGAATTACAGACGTTGTTATTGTTATTATTCATTACTCATGTTTAACATATACTGTTATATACTGTTTCTGGTTAAGTTCATTTAGAATATTTTTTGAGGAAAATATTCTAAATACAGTAGTTGCAAGATTGATTTTCCATTTGCAGTTTGAAAAAGTTTGTATAAGCCAAATAGCACCTTATTAGTCTATAATATTTAACAAGGACTTGATGTCACTTGGCATTGATATCTCTGGAAATTCCCATTTGAGCAATGTTGGAGAGCAATTTCTCACTGTGAATTTCCTGCAAATCTCTCTTCCTCAATAAAGTCTTCAACTTAAAGAAACATAAGCTTTTCAAATTAGAATGAAACAACTTCCTTTTGAATAATATTGATGATATCTTTATTGCTTTCTATAAAACATGAAAAGGTTTCCGTGAAGTTGTATTCTTCGAGCAATTATTGATTTATTACTTAAAGAAGATTGATGTAGTATATTTCCTCTAATTTTTGCTCTCTCTCTCTCTCTCTCTCTCTCTCTCTCTCTCTCTCTCTCTCTCTCTCTGTTATTACTGAACTGCCAATAAATTAGATTCACATTTTTCTACTCTCTTTTAAACACACACTTGTAATTATCAGTATTCACCTCCAACTAAATCTATTTGGACTGAAAATAAGAATTTCTGCATGTTTGCTTAAATATAATTTTTATTCTCTCCCTCTTTCCTCCCCACTCCCCCTCTTCCCCCCCCCTCCATCAGTTCCATTGCCATCATTAAGCATTGTTAAGCAAGCTGTCTTGTAACCTCATCTTGGGACTTGGGACATTTTCCCCATTGACTTTGCTTATCACAAATCAGCTCGGAAAATAGCAAATGGCAATAATGTGATAGGAGAGACTTACTGGCATTACAGGTAGTCCTCTATTTATGAGCACAGTTGGAACTGGAATTGACATTGTAGGCCATGGTGGTCTAAATCGAGTCATCACCTAACCAACTAATCATCAACTGTTCTGATTTTACAACTATTTTTATAAAGGTAAGTCAAATCACTTTGGTTGTAAGTTGAGTCATGATTGCTATCATTGTGAATCCAGCTTAATTAAGGATAGACAGGGTGCTGAGATCATTGTAAATGTGTGATGGTTGTAAAGCATCCAAATTATGATCACAGAACCATGGGGTTATTGCAACAGCTGCAAGTTCAAGGACTGGTCATAAACCTACCTTTTTCAGCATTGTTGTAACTTCAAACTATTGCTGAAGAATGCTGTGAGTAAGTGACAATTACCTGCAATAAACCACAGGTCGTCTTGCAATTAAGAACAGAATTTCTGTCACTAAACAATGCAGTCATAAAATATGGCATCACCTGAGTGCGCCATTTAGCAACAGCAATCCCAGCAGTTACCATTACCATTATTAAACAAGGACCACATGGGTCATTAAGCCATAAGACCATGATGTGGGAAAAGGAGAGAATCCAGAAATGTTTGCTTGTGTTGCTGAATATGTTCCATGCAAGCAGGCTGGTGGGCAATTGCTATGGGAAGATGACTATCACAAATGAGTATGTGGAGTATGAACAGGCAGGTACCTGTCATAGGTGGGCACCAATTAGGTAGTACAGGCAGATGGGCACTAGGGAGCGTGAGATCCTCATGCCTTCTGGGAGCTCCTTGGGTGAAAAAGTGGGAGAGTGGGAACAAACTGCAGGAGCAGCTTGGAACCTCCTGCAGCTCCCCCATTGACTTTGCTGGTGGGAAGCCAGCAGGGAAGGTTGCAAAAGGCAGTCACATAACCATCAGACACCACAACTGCGTAATTGCAAACAGATTGCCAAGCACCAATCAGGTGCCGTTGGTTAAACTGGGTTTGTCCTCGTGACCACATGACTCAACTTACGAACAAAGTGACTTAACTTGCAACCATCATAAAAATGCTCATAGAATCGGGTCCAATCAGGTGATGATTTGACTTACAACCACAGTTGTAACTTACAGCCACAGTCAGATATTCTACAATTATGGTTGTAATTCAATGGCTACCTGTAATGCCAATGAGTCTGTGTAATACATGTTATAGAAATATTTTACAGAAAGGGCCAAAATGATAAATTTGTGAACCTGGTCTGCAAATCAAGATCAGCAAATAAAACTCTAGTGTTCTTTGTTTGAATAAAAAAGCAAGGCATGGCTTGCTTTGAAGTAGAAAAAAGAGATTAAGCCTACAGAGTTGCATAGGAAAACCCCAATAGTTTCATCTGATAGATACATCTGGGGAAAATGTGGAACAAATTTTCAGTAAAGAAATATTTATGGAGCAATTGAGCCGAGTA